AAACCAGACGCCGCAATACACCACAAGCAATCACAAGCATGCTGCATCATGTTGCATTGTGCTGCGTCATGCTGCATGCTCACCCTGCGTTCTAAGGATTTCCCCTTTCCACCAGACAATGGTCATCCAGGTTGACCAATCCATAGAGCGAGCGCCAATATGCGCAGGGAAGGTTCCTTGCGTGACACCTCGGGGCAAGTATTGGCTCTCAAAGGACCCATGGAATACAGCTGACAAACTTTCTGGCCGCCTCCTTGCCATTGAGGAGTTGGCGAGGGCCCAGGGTGTAGGAGATGCACAGATGGCAGGTTGCGAGTTAAAACCTGACAGCAAGCGATTACAAGATTTTGTTGGAAACTCCTTCACTGCTCCAGTAATTGGCGCTTTGATTGTAGGAGCTCTCGTTTCACATGCATGATCCTGCATTATGCAAGCCTGTGGCGCTTTCGCCATGGATATCTTGCAGTGATCTGCAGATTCAATTCAATAACCACTGCAGGTTCCAGCAGAATCCAGGGGATAGTGAACCCGGAAACATTTGGACATGCATTGACCCTCACACCACAAAACGTCACAAAACACCTATTTGGACATCATTGAACATCATTGGACATCAAGAGGACCAACTTGGAAATAATTGGAATATGTTTTATTTTTAATCTATTTTACAATATTTTACATATGGCAAGTTGAGCCCTAAGATAGATCAATATCGTTCGATCAAAATGAATGCAATGTGTGACAATGTGTGACATGCTAAAGCCTGGAGAGCAGCCACGGGATGTCATGGGCTGGCTGGTGAAGAAGAAATGTAGCATGCAGCGCATGGATTTGTAGAGAGTAGTCGTTTGATGTCGTTTGTGAATGCTTGGGAAATTGTGTGAATGATTGTGAGTGTTTGTGCATGATTGTGCCTGTTTTTGGATGTTTTTTGGCAATCTTAAGCATTCTTCAACTCGTGTCAACAGAAACTCAGATTGAAAACATTGTCAAATCTGCGTCAACTATTGTCAAAATTTCCAAGCATTCATCGGAGGCTGACAGCTTTCATGGACCCCATGGATATTTAATTTAATTCAATGCAGAATAGGGTAGACATGCATAGACCACCTCGGCCAAAAGATTTTGGTGCTTCGCGCTTCTGCATGGATCCCTCTTGGATCTCCTCAAGATTGTAGCCCGAAAAAGAACTAAGAGTTCCTGTGATGATTTTGGATGTTGGCATGTTGGTTTGAATATGTTTGAATTGCCCAGGGATGGCCAGGGAATTGGAATGAATGGAAAAGCAAATTGATGATACAGATAAAATCAGATAAATAGGTAGCAAGCCATGCCGTCGAATATCTTTGAATCGCGCTGGGAAGATTTGGTTTTGGGACAGATCAGCACAGTTTTGTCTCCTTGCCAGGCATTACGATGTGGCGCAAACGTGCTTGGAGGACGGTTGCTTGATCATGCTTGATCAGGAGTGGCCCAATATGCCAAAACGAATCAAAAAGAATCAAAAAGATACCTGTTGACTGATATTTTTTTATATATGTTTTTTTTAATATATAAATATTTTGATATATTTTTGATTTAAGGACACATAAGGACATATGTGTTGGATATTGTTGGATTACATTGGTTTTTCATCGTTTATCATCGTTTATCCACATTTTAAATGATTTTAAATGTTTTTCCTGTGATGTCCTATGATGTCCTATGCAGTGGTCCATCATTTTTTGCATTGGCATTTAGCATCATTTAGCATCATTTAGCAACATGCTTGCGGGAACCATGTATACCATTGATTACATTTGATTACCATTGATTACCATTGTACACCATTATATACATTTATAATCATTTATATGCTATATTTTACATTATTTTACAAGTATAATCAATTATATGCATGCCATCACATATCCAGACATTTCTGATTTCCAGTGCGTGGTGATGAAGGCCTGATAGGATATTGACCTAGTTATGTTGTCGAAATGTCGTGGAGAAATTGGAAACCTGGGTTCATTGTGACAATGGAATGCTGCAGTAAATGGCCCATCATGGCCCAGCATGGTCCATATGGCAGCATGTCTGTGGTTCATTTAGGTTTTCTGCATGTTTCTGGATGGTGTGTAGATAGTTCATGATAGTTCTGACAGCAAACAATAAACTGCGAACCAATTATTGGGGTCTTGGGATATCAAAACTTTTTTGATAATATAGGGGTTTGATTCTCGAGCAAGTTCTTGTGCTTTTGGAATCTTCTGGATTATTTTGGATTCAGTAGGCCAACATTGACAGGCTGAAACAGATATCTGTGTAATTCTGTGTATATTCCTTCATTGCTTTGATCAAATTGCGTCATGCTTTCTAAGTTACTGCCATTGAAATTGCATGAGATTGCTTGTCTCACTGGCATCTCGAAAGTGTTGCCTAGGAGATTCAACGTGAGATTGAAATAGATTGAACATCAGTTCAAGGGCGCACAGAACTTCAAGGGTACTTTGATGATGTCAAAGTGCTGTTGAAGCTCCGTGCTTCCTTGGAGTTGGAACGGGCATGCCAGGGCTCCAATGCGTGCCAAATGGCACCAAGATATGGGCATGTGTGGCAAAATGAGGCAATTGCATCATTGAATTTCGTCAGCTTCTGTCAGCAAAACATAGCAAAACATAGCAAAACATAGCAAAACATAGCAAAACATAGCAAAACTGGTGTGGCTATGGCCTGCTTCCATGTTTTTTTTGAGGGAAAGGTGGATTACACCTGTGTGCCGGCGTGGTCATACATCATAATACCATAATACATCATAATACCATAATACATCATAATATAGATCCTAATATGTCTTAATATATCTTAAATTATCTTAATACATCCACATATTTTAAAAAATACAGTTTTTAATTTTAGGATAGATACAGAACAGGAAGGGTCGCTCAGGTTCAGAAACGGATAGCAACAAATACAGCCTCATTTAGCCACATTTTGCGACATGTTGCTGCGTACAAGATAAAGAGGATGCATGTTGCAGCGTGAAGCAGCTGTTTTGCCACAGAAGCATTGTGAGATATTGTGAGGCACTTCGTTGCACCTTCTTGCAAAATTGATGCAGGGTCATCTACATGATTCACCATTTGTTTCTTCATTTTTTAATATTTTTATACGTGTTTCTCCAATTTTTTCGGAACCCTGCCAGGATTGTCCATGTGGCCCTGCTTCGATGTGTTTGAAGGGCTTGGACAAAGACCCTGTCACGGTGGAGCATGCACAGGCACAGAAACTTCTTAGGTCATGCAAACAGTGCAAAAAACATCAAAAATAATTGCATGTCTACGGTGTACTGTTGGGATGATTTGGGATGTCTTGACATGTCTTGACAATTCTTGACATGTCTTGACATGTCTAGGGAATTCCAGTGCCAAACACGGTGGATGCCTTTCAATGTACATTCCCTGAGATAAAGAGCGTTGAAGATGTACATGTAAAATAAACATAAATTAAAATTCCATTTCACATGTCCAGGGAGTTCAGGTGGATGCATCGCAATGATTTCTCAGGAGCCTTAGGCCTTACTCTGTTGCCCGGTTGTGCACATGCCCGCCTTGAGGTGTTGGACCAATCACATGTCTCTGATCATAGCAGCTCAGTGGATGCAGTGGCAACTCAGCTAATACCGGAGAGTTGCAGTCAAAAGAAAACATATTACATGTCTAGCGTTGTCTAGTCATGTCATGTCATGTCTATCCATGTCTATCCCACATGTCCTTCCTCAATCTTCCTCAGAGTTGCCATGCCATGGCTTTCCGATGTTTTGTGTTATTTTGCGGTCTGAACTGCTTTTTGTCGTCGCTATTCATCGCTGTTCACACTTTGAACTTGGACATTTTTTTTTGTTTAGATAGTCCAAAAGACAGTGAAATAACATTATCTTACATGTCCTGACATGTCCTGACCTGTGCGGACACCATATTCCTGTGACATGATGGAACATTGCAACTTGCATCGTTTTGCAACAAATTGCAACCTTGTTATACATTTTCGACTGGCTTTACATGACTTTACCGGCCTGGAAAATTTGAGACTGCAATCGTCACTATGTCACCACATGTCACCACAGCCCCTCATTTGCCGTTTCAAGATGTTTCAATTTGGTCACATGAGGCCTTGGCATCATATGGCATCCGAAAACCCTGGGAACTTCTGCGAGAATCCTTGCAGCACGTGGTTGGAACAATAAGTGCGCCGGAACAGTCTTGGAGAAACTTATTCAACAGCATCCCCTTGCGCAATGCTGGCCTGTTCCTTCAGACGAGCTTCCAAGAGATGGCAACTTTTCTGAATTTTTTGGAAGGTGGTGGCGAACCTAACCAGTGGGATGCATTGTGTCAACAAAACCGCCAAACTTACGCAACTGCAGATCCAAGTGCTTGGCTGGCTAAGCGACCTCACTGGCATGCTCTTGCCCATGAGTTTGGCATTGGTCTCTTGAGCCAAGAACATGGGAAATCAAGTGCGTCGTTTGACCATGTGGATCCTCAGGTGGGCAGTGTAGATGCCTTTTTTGTTCTTCCCGTTTTGCACTTTCGTTTACTGCTTCATATGTATTTTCAAAATTTTAAATGTCAGCCTATGACATGTGACAATGCACCATGTTTCACCATGCTTCACCATGTTTCACCAACATCATCATGTTGTCAGCTCATGTCAGCTCTTCGTCTCGTCATTGTCGCCCCTTAAGATGTGGTCATCAACTGATATCTAAATATATTATCATATATTATCATGGCCTTGGTGCAATGTATATATTGTATGATATTTTACAATAATATATAATATACTATAATATATGTTCCAGCATGTTCTAGCAATTTCTAGAATATTCCAGCCCGTGTAGCTTGCTGGATGCATCTTCACACAACAATCCTTGTGTTGCTGCGCAGGTGGCTGAAGCTTGGACACGCTTTTGTAGCCTGACAGAGAATCGCCAGAATGCCGAGCAGTCTTCCTACATGTCTTCAGAGGACATCGAGGACAGCCTTTTGCAGCCCTGGGCTCCTGCTGCGTTTTCTGCAGGCAAAATGGACATGGGGCAAGTGTTGCATGGTTGCTGCGCAATTCTTCGATTGCGGATGGGCAAGGATTGGTGCAAGAAGGTTGCCCTTGTGAATGCTTTGTGCGAGGAAAGGTTGCAGAGGCTTCTCTTCCACCCAACAGCAGGCCTGGTGTTGGGGATTCTTTTCACTGATCACCATTGGGCTTTGTTGGCATATGTGAAAGGAAGCCATAAAGCCTTGGTGTATGACGGCCTGAAGGATCAGAGGATTCTAGACGCAGGGGTTGCCTTCATGTTTCATGTGGAGGCAGGGACGGCAACTGACACCTCCTTTGCCAACGTGCCACAACAATGCGATGAGTGGAGCTGTGGTCACAGAGTCATCTTGCATCTGAACTTCCTGCTAAAGCACATGGCTGAATGCAACAGACTTCCAGAGGAAGTCCCTCCTGGTCAAGTGAGCTGTGCGAAGATCCAAGTTTTGATTTCTTCCTACAAAACAGTTTGTGTATACCAACGCAGTGCTGATGCGCCTGGGACTGAAGATGCGGCTGAGACTGAAGATATGCCTGTGACTGAAGATTCGCTTCAGACTGAAGATGACGCTGACAGTGACAGTTCTTGTTTCGCCCTCAGACCAGCCAAGTGCCTCAAGGTTTCAGCATCGAAGAGCCCTGATCGAATGGACCTTCCTACCACACCAGTGGCCTCCAAGAAGTCTGTGCTCAAGAACCGGCTGGATGTTCAGTGGACGCCAGATTCAGTTGACCCAATGCAACAGCCGATGCCAAGCAAGAGAAGACGTGTCTCTGATAGTAAAACTGACAAGGAACCTTCCACTCCACCAAGACAGAAAAGGGACATGACCTGTACCAAATCTTCCATTGTGGCCCAATTGCGTGATGCTGGCATTGATCACAATGTTGTTTTTCAGTCCGCCCATGAGCGTGGAAATAGGTTCATGGAAAAGGGGCACTGGAACACGTTCACAAAGGCAGTTTGCACAGGAGATGCCTTGGCATGTCCAGTGTGTGCTGACTTGAGACTGAAGTTCGAAGAAGCAGGCAAGAGTGAGACGCTAGCTGTCTGCCAGCCAGCCAAGCCGAAGTGTAGCGCTGTGCCAAGATCCACGCTTCCTTCATCGAGATCCAGGGGTCGGCCTAGCAAAGAGGAGGACCAAAAGTTTGATCTGGTTTCGTACATCCGAGAGCACAGAGCAAACGTTTACACCCCAATCGAAAATAATGAGGCCAAGCCTGGCTACCCATGGTGGTGCGTTCCTTGCCAGAAGACTGTGAACTTGCAGCGGCGTGGAAGCGCATCTTATTTGGATCTGCATGAAGGCCGCGGGTGCCACCTGAGAGCATGTGCAAAGCTTGGCATTTCTGTCAATGGGATCCGGGATACCAGCTCTACGTGCAACGGGGTGAAGTTGACAGACTCAATCCCATGGCTTGGCAGGATTCAAGAGAGCTTTGCAAATTGGTATGCAGCTGGGATGCCATGGGCATGCACGGAGCACATGAAGACCCTGGTTGGTCTTTTGGACAGTCAAATAGTTTTTTCATGTTTTTTCTATTTTTTTAATCAGCTGTTTGTTCTCACAGTTTGCAAACAATTGCAAACATATTGTATCATGTTTTGCCGCGATGTCTCCCATTGTCTCCCAACATCTCCTAACATCTCCTAACATCTCCTAACATCTCCTAACTACATCGACACACTCATGATATCTCATGATATCGCCTGGAAACTCAGGACAGATTGGCGTCCGTCAGGAAGGCTTGCAGTTTGTCCTGAGGCATGCCAGCTGTGCAGGAGGCATTGCTGGCACATATGGATGCATATGCTGTGCTGAAATGCAGACAGAGGCAGTTGCAGCTGAGATCTGTCGATGGTCATACAGGATAGACCTTGCTGCATATGCATCGAGTCTGGCTTATGGACATGAAACAGACATTCGAAACAACACAGAGATGATCTTGCAACGAGACTATCAGTGCTTGGGTCTTGCTGGCTCCGACTTCAAGACATTGCTTGAGATTGCGGACAAGACCAAGGTGATTTTGATGATCCGCAAAAAGGTCGAATCCATCCCTGTTGGTCGCCGTAATGAGTCCCTAAAGTCCTTCATCCAGGTAAGGCTGAAGCAACTGGGAGAGCTGTCTGTTGGCAATATCGCGCAGGAGACTTTCGCACTTTTAGTGAACAAGTTCAAGGTTGCAGCAAATGACAACCAGAATCTGCGAGGCAACTTGGAATTGGCGTCTAAAATTGCTGCTGGTGCTCTCTCTGGCAATGCTGTTGTGGATGCACTTGTGAAGAGCTTTTGCCACATGACCAACATGGTGAAGCAGGGGAAAACCCGAGTTCGCACCTCTCGATTTGTCTGTGGTGAGATAGCTGCAGACCTTATGTCCACTGTTGGCAGTGGAGGTCCCTTGGTGGCCATGCTGAAGCCACTTGCCCTGGAACTAAAAGTATATATCAGTTTGTTTCTCTTTTGTTTTGGCGTCCATGCTAGTTCACTTCAATGCCATGAACCCCGTGGGGATTGAACCCATGTCTTTGGATTCTGAGGAATTTGTCTCCGTTTCACACTTCTGAAATCTTCTGAATAGGAGCCTCGTTCCCAAGAATCCCCTGATGTTTGGAAGGTAAATTGCCCTAACCCCAATGGATCAGTTCCAGAATTGAGATAAGGTCTTTGGCCCCTCCCTACTGCTTCTAATAAGGCTGTTTGGCGCGAACCCAAAGATTCTGCCAGCAATGAACTACCAGCATGACTTGCTCCCTCAACCTTATGTGGCACACCGAGACAGCACCATTTTGGAGCAGAATACTTCAGCTTCCCTGAGGCTTTTGTCGGTTCCTTGTAGCGACCGCAATTTCTTGATCGTCCTCGATGAGACCTACTATCATCCAACCCAAGACATCATTGTCAACTTGCGTGGGGATTCAAAGCTGGCTGTGATTGGTGGGTACTACCATTCAGAGGAGGACTGCCGGAACCAACCAACCACTCTTTGTGTTGTGGGTGAGATATGGTGAGATTGTGTGGCAATGTTACTGAGTGCATTTTATCTTTTTATATATTTTTTATTCTTTTTTTATATTAGTCTGTTTATGTCTATTTCGGTTTAGATCATATTATGTTATTATGTTATATTATGTTATCATAATTATATATATAACAAATTATAATAGTATATGTTGATGTGATTTGATGATATTTGATGATATTTGATGCGGCATGTTGAGATTTGCATCTCCGGGCTGTGAGATGATGGAACTCTGCAGGATTGGTCGTATTTGGCCTCTGACAGCCCTCGGAGGAAACAGCTGGATGACACGAAGCTTTCCCGGTTGGTCATGCATTATGTAGTGTCTAGAACAGACACTACCAAGCACACCTACTGCGTCTGCATGGTGCCCCGGAAGCCGAAGGCGGGTGGAAAGTTGGAAGTTCTTGCAGAATACGGCAAGATCTTAGAAGCTGCTACTCAGTCCAATGGGCAGACACCGCCTCTGGGTGGGGCATGGGACAACGCAGGGTCAAACCTGTACATCAACGAGGCTTTCCTGGGCAGATTGGACCAGAAAACGTTGCGCAAAGCAGCATTCTTCAAGGACTGCGAACTCAAGCTGATCATGTTGCCCTGCATGCAGCTCTATGGGGCCTTATGACATCTTATAATATCTTATAATATCTTATAATATCTTTTAATATCTTATAATATCTTATAATATCTTATAATATCTTATAATAACATATAATATCATATAATAACATATATCAATATATGATAGAATAAAATAGAATAAATAGGTGTGAAACCCTTTCCGAGGAACACTGGGGCACTTCTGTGATCAGCCGCTGCCTATTTGTGCGGTTTTGATCCCCATTCGAATTGCCTTTGCAGAACAGGTTGGGTTGAGGCTTGTAAAAAAATGTAAAAAAAAACATGTAGATGCAACATGATGCAACCAGCTTTGTGCAAAAGCGCCTATGTTTCCATTCGGATACAGTGTACATGTGCTCCTGCAAGACTTAAGTAATATGTTCTGAAATGTTTAAATATTTTTCAATATGTTTTAATATGTTTCAATATATGTTTTAATTAGTTTTAATTATAGTGATGCCAGTGATGCAAGCGAGACGCAGTGAGACATAGTGAGACATAGTGAGACTACAATAGACTACACATGCTAATCATACAAAAACTTAAGGGTCATTTTGTGCTGTGTAGTTTTGTTTTTTTTGAATATTTTTGAATATTTGGCAATTTCTAACTGTACTTTCTCAGTTGTGTTCAATGGTTTGGAACTTAATTAATCTTAATTATATGGATGAATTACATACCATTTTGGCTCAAGGTGACATTCATTGCATATGCGTTGTTGCTTCTTTTTTTCTGGCTTCAATTTTTTCAGTGGTTGCTGTTGTCAAATTCGCGTTTGGCTGGGGGGGTTCACTACACGTTTTCCCATGTTTTTCCATGTTTTTCCACTACCTAGGTGTCAGATTTGCTGTGCAGCTTCACTTTCATGTCTTGTACTTTCATTTCTCCTGTCATTTGACTCCCGGTGACTCCCGGGCGTTTCCGGCGCAATGGATCGCGAGCTTTTGAAACAGCAAACGGTGGAGACCTTGCTTTTGTGGCTTCTGCTAGTCATTAGGGAACTTTGCAATCGTTTCCGAGTTGACATTGACCGGGTTGTGACACCTCCTCCAGCGGTGCATTCTCGGAATCCTTATCCAAATCCAAACGTTGATCCGGAAGCTGTGCTTGAGGCACCTCCCTGCCCACATCAGTGTAGGTTTTGCCAACGTCCCTGTGGGCGTATCAGCATTGACCACACACAGCATAGCTGCTGGACTCACTGTCACGATCGATGAACTCTGATGACTCTGACGTGGGTCCACGGTCTCAAATTGATGTTGAAGAATCAGAAGATAGCCTTGTCAGGCCGTTTTGCAATGTTTTGCAAGGTGAAACCATCACCCAAGCCTCGTTTTTCCTTGGATGTACCTAGGGCCTCATGGAAGGGTCATGCTCCTGATGTTTCCCATCGTGGTTTGGCCCCTCCAGTGATTACGCAAGTGCTGACCAAACTGCAGATATCTGCAGATAGGTCCATGCATTTTGCATCCGAGCATTCGCCAGCGAAACATCCATGTGTCATGTTTATTCATGTTTCACCTTTGTTTCACGCATGGTGAATTTTTCATATTTTTTCACCTTTGATACCTCAGCAGTGTCAATCAGCATCCCGCCAGTGCAAAGATTGTGAATACAATCTACACGTGTTTGCGCATGATTGCACATGTTTGCGCCATTTTGCGCCATTTTGCACCATTTTGCGCCATTTTGCGCCCAATAGGGGCGATTTCCACCTGGTGAGTTAACTAGTGAGTTAACATGAGTTAACAACTCTTGTTGTTCGATGTTGTTCGCCATGTTTCTCATTGTTACAATTGGTCCCTTGCCATTATGTGAATGCCGATGTGGATGTTTTATGATGTTTTCAAATGTTGCGTTTTTGCCATTTCCACTACTGTTACAGTGGATCGAGCATTCCCTGCTTTCCTCCTTATGGGGGGTCGGATTGTCCATTGATCAGATTGAACAACAATTTGGTCACATTGCCGAACTGGGACCAATAATCCAGCAATGAGAGAAAAAGAAATGAGATCTATGAAGCGCGGAACTGAAGAGGGAAATATTTGAGAAAATATTTGAAGGGGTGATGTTTTCTAATGTTTTCTATTCGTTTTGATTAATCCGGTTACTTACGTTTGGGGTCTGCGTGCGTTCATTATAATATCAAATAATATCAAATAATATCGACTTGTATGTGATATTATAATATATTACAATATATTATAATATATATTATATTATAATATATTATATATTATATACAATATTATACAATATTATAAAATAGTATCAAATTACTATATATTATAATATATTAATATATATATATAATTGTATATATATATATAATTATATATATAATTATATAAATATATATATATATTATATAGATATGTAATGAATGTCCACCTTGAGAACCCCGAAGAGGCTTTTTGATTGCTTTTTGTACACAAGGGGCCCATGCACGAAGAAACCCCTTCAATTTACGATAATTTACGCAGAAACCCCTTCAATTGTTGCTTGTTCATTTTTGTTTGAGGCTGAAACCCATGCATCCTGATCACAGATTTTCGGAGATAACGGCTTCAGAAAGAAATGATGGGCTAAAAGGGGTACACAAAAAAAATCAGACAGTGGTTTTCGAATGTTTTGGAATGTTTTCGAATTTCCAGCCCAGATTGGACCAGAAAACTCTGCGCAAAGCAGCATGCCTCCAGGACTGCGAAGTCAAGTTGATCACATTGCCCTGCATGCCGCTCTTTGGGACCTTGCTGTACCGCTCAAAATTTCCCATGCTTGGAAGCAATGATTATTTGCATTGTGCCAAGCGCCTGGCGTATCTTGATATGTTGGTAATCCGTGGCATCACGAGAGATCAAAGTCAGAAAATACATGAAAATACATGTGCTCCTGCAAGATCTAAGCACCCATTCTGTAATATTCTGTAATATTCTGTAATATTTTGATATATTTTGTACAGGTGCAAGTGATGCAAGTGAGACATGTTGAGACCTAGCCACTTTGTACAAGATTGCGCAAGCAAATTTTTGCCTACAATGATTTTTGTACAACCTGCATAGATGAATTGCCATCTGCATGTATAAAACTCCTATCCCAAACCCTTGGGGGTAATTGCAACCTGGATCAATTTTGGGCATATGTGGTGATGAACCATAGCATGCGAATCGCAGGGCAGCCCATGTGTTGCGGTTGTTGTTGCATGATGTTGCATGATGTTGCATGGTGCTGCATTGTGTTGCATGTTGTTGCTTGAGCAGCCAAGGCACCATGTGGTCACTGCTTCCCGTGTGGTTGTCTTTGGCGATGTCTTCACAGAGCTTTGCGGGCTGATTCGCGGAGGACTTTCGATGCGGGCTTACGTGGGAACAGACGTTCAAAGTGACTTCCAAGCTGCGCAGAAGCTATCGCCTGCTTATGCGCAGAAGAAATGGCATGAACACGGATCCAACATTTGTGGATTTGTTGCTGCATTGCTCTCTTCAGCCTGGACTGCAGCACGTGGCTTTTCCTTCCACGAGTCATTGTCAAACAACATTTGTGCTTTTTACTTCCTGGCGCTGAATCTGATGCTGGCGATGCGAAAGCATGGGCCAAAGCTGTGGGAGGCTCACTACTTGCCAAAGACCACTTTGAGGTGCTGCATGAACTTGTGCTTACACACCATCATCGCAGCAATGAACTGGCCTACAGGCCTGCGGTGGGATCCGAGAAGCCGTGGCGAAGCAAGTGCAGAGCAGTACTTCCGTCAGATCAAATCCCATTGCCGCGGCAAAGCAAGCATCAAGGATGGATTGATGGGGTGTCAGCTGCTTCACTCCCGCAACTTGAAGCATTGCGATGCTCTGCCCAGCTCGGCACAGGGTGAATGCGTTCAGGCAGTGAGCCTTGCTGACATGCAAAGGATTTGCCATCAGTGCCTCTCTGCGACATGTTTGTTGACGTCATGGCTGTGCGTGTGCTTGGGCCGCAATTACCCCAGCATTACATAGCATTACAACTCATTAATTACATATCATTACATGGATATCATTGTCTCTCAACCATTATCAGTCAGTGCTCACATCAATCACAGTGTGATCAATGCTGCATTGCCAGATTCATGGGGTCCCAACATGTCCTAGCATGTCCTATCATGTCCTAACATGCCCTAACATGCCCCAACATGCCCTAACCACCTACTAGAACATATCAGGACAGATTAGGACAGGTAGGATCAAGGGAGTCTTTTCAGACCCACATCCCCACAGCATCCTTGCTCTGTGACTCAGGAACGAGCATGCTGACAACCTCCAGAAGGATTTCCAAGCTTGGTGGGCCGGAGAAGGCTGTGAAGAGTTGTTTGGAGAGACACCGCCTGACCAGGACCAAGAGGATTTCTGGGACTTTTCTGGCGATTTTGTGGAGGAGGAGACAGATCCAGCAGCACTAGCCACAGGAGCTTTGGATGAGATGTGTCCTGTTGCACCCCTGTCTTCTCATGATGTCATTGTGAAGGTGGAGGACCGCAGCAATGTTGCAGAGCAGATCAACAAGCTGGTCAATCCAGAACTTGTGGCCGATGAAGTTGTGTCTGCAGTGGCCACTGACCCTGACCCTGTTGGCCCATCATCTATACACTATCCTACCACTGTCCTGTCATTGGTATCCTGCCTGAAAGATCGCGAATGCTTCACTAGTGGTGCTGGGAACGCCACTGCTTGCTTAGCCCGACTGGAGAAATTGTCTGAGTACATGAAGAAGCTCACTGCCCATGCTCGAGTGAACGAAGGAATCTTGACTCCGACCAAGCTAGGAGCTCCAACTCGAAAACTCGGTGCTTACCAACAACTGCTGCACGAGATTCACATGGCCAGGCAGATGTCCCTGTTTGGTGGGGCCAGGACAGGCCGACTGGAGGCATGGTTTAATGCCCAAGCTGCTGTGAAGGAGAGAAGCTTAGTGCCTGGCAAGGATAAAGTGGATGATGATTTTCCTAGTGTCGTCGACCAGTTTCGCCCTCTC